CGGTTGATTTGATCAGTATTATGTTCTTTCAAGAAAATGTCTTTCGAGAACTTGAGTCACATTGTAATTGGATGATAATCAGGTAACTTACATCTAAACTGCGCAATAATTAAATAATCATGATTTTCTGAGACTAATTAAATGAAGAATAAATAACCAATTAATGTACAATTCTAAGGTCAAATTTCTTTAGTTATATATTATATGTTTAACTATAAAATAATATTTTTGAAATAATTTTTTATAATGTTGAATTCAAAAAAACTTTATAGTAAATGTATATATGTAACGAGTCAAGTTGGTTTTTAGGTTGAGTTAAACTTGACCCGGGTCAAAATCACCCAGGATTAGTGCGGGCTGAAATTATGTTGATGCCTGCCGGGGTTTTTTAATTAATTCATTTGACCCGGATCAAGTTTAATTCAGCCTAAAAACCAATTTGACTCGGTAACACATATAAATATAGATAATAAGTATATAGACAGTTGTAAATTGTAAATTTAAACACTTTTAACCATTTTTAAACAATTAAATAAATTCAAATTACTCAAAATTTTATTAAAATATAGATACTTCAAATTGCAAGAAATATTTATCCAATCAAATGCAATATTGACATGCTCTTTATTTGTCAGTAATACATTAATCAAAGTATTTTAAAAAAAGTATTATAAACAAAACAAAAATATTAAATTTTGGTGTTTTTATTTGTTTTGAAATAAAAATTACCTTAAAAAACAGGGCATCTATGATGCTACCATCTACTCTTGTATATAAGCTGCATTAATATTTTGCATAATTAAACTTGAAAATTTAACTATTTGTATTAAAAATAGATCTATTAACTTTGCTAAAAAAAATCCCGTCTAGAGAAGAAAATGTTACGATTCGAGGAGATTTAAATGATCTTTGTTTTGCTCAATCATTTTGTTATAAAATTTAAGGATAAAAACCCAGCTCTAAAAACATTATAAGCAAGTGGGAAAAGGGCCGCCAATCACATAACTACATGTAAGGGAAGAACAACATAAGTCAGGACGAGAAAGATCGCATCGTTCACCCGAATTAGCAGATCAACAGAGTTAACATCAGAATTAGTTATAGAACATCTCAGAGAACAACATTGTTCTGGATGACTCGAATTACATTGTTGAAATGGTTGATCAGTACAAGGTGTTGGCGTAGGCGTAGTGCATGCAGTTTTCGTAAGTGTACAAGTAACCGTTTCTTTATCATTGCTTTGTTTTAAATGATAACAATGGTATTTTTTTTGATTATTTCTTCGTTCATTATTTGGGTACAACTAAGAGTAGGAATAGGGGAAACTGTGCAAGATGCCGTTATCGTTGTAGTGATGGTTGTATTACAAGGTTTGTAGGAATAAATGGTAATAGTTGATATTAACAAATAATAAAAAGAATGGTCAAAAGTAAATTTTGT